TCAGGAAAAAGAAAAAGTGAAATTAGAATTTTTTTTTTTATAATCATCTACTTCCACGTTCAAATTTTTTTTTTTTTTTTTTTTTTTTTTTTTTTACGGTATCTGTCGACCCCTTGTTTCGTACCTGCCCGATTTTTTTTTTTTTTTTTTTTGTATTTTTCGTTACTACTCCCTCTTCAAAATTTTTAAGACGGATTTTAATACGTTGGAAATTTTTAACGTGGGATTAAACCTTCACGCCCCACGTTAATTATAATGAATCTTTTTTTTTTTTTTTTTAATTTTATTATTATTATTATTATTATTATTATTATTATTTACGACGTATCACCTGTTGGGTGTTTTTTTTTTTTTTTATTAAAAAAATCGATTGTTAGTCGTCAAATTTTCGCTTTTGATCGGTTAATAAATAATTACTCTATGGTTAAGAAACGAGTAGTAATAATAATAATAATTACTTTAATATTAATTTTTTGTCGAGGTGGTGGTGGTGGTTGTAGTTGTTTGACCGTTACAATGTATATATCGCCATTGAGTGGTGGTAAATGATGAGAGACGAAAAACATTGAAAAGATTTATTCGTGACCTTATCATTATCATTATCAACAAATTTTTAAAGAGTTCGTTAAAAAAAAAAAAAAAAATTTCAAATCGTTGATTTAAAAAAAAAAAAGTTTGTTCCCGCCCGGGATCGAACCGAGGACCTTGCGCGTGTGAAGCGCACGTGATAACCACTACACTACGGAAACTAACTGTACTCGTTTTGAAATATTATTAATTTTAAAAAGCGTTTACGACAGAAAAAATTATTTATTCGTAATCTATTTAAAAATGATTATTATTATTTTTTTTTTTTTTTGGTTTAAATTCCTGTGGGATTTTCATTTGGGAAAATTTGTTTCCGTTGAAATTTTTCAAAAAAAAAAAAAAGGATAAATAAATAAATAATCAGGAAAATTTTAATAATAATAAAAAAACAAATAATTTAAAAAATAAATAAATTTATTATCATCATCATCATCATCATAATTTAAAAAAAAAAAAAAAAACTTTCATAAAATATTTTTTTTATACAATTTTTTATTTATTTATTTATTTATTAATAATAATATAGAAGGCAAATAATAAAATCTTTTCAAAAACAAAAAAAAAAAAATAAAGAATAGACGAAGACGAAAAAGTAATAATAATAATAATAATAATTCGTAACATGCATTTAAAATTATTATTTATGTATTTATTATTATTATTATTAACTACTGTAAATAATAAAATTTTTTTTTTACAAATTTTCTTTCTCTCTCTCTCTCTCTCTCTCTCACACACTCTCACTAACTCTCTCACTCACTCGCACACATTTTTTTTTTACATAATCAAACCTCATTCGCACCTTACAAAAAAAAAAAAAATAATAATAATAATAATAATGATATAAAAATTAAATGTCATTTACAATAATAATAATAATTTTTTTTTAATATTTTTTTTTGTATTATTTATGTATTTTTTTTTTATTAAAAAAATAAAAATTTTCGTGATAATGATAATAATAATAATTGATTTTATATAATCATTATTATTATTATTATCGTTCTATTATAAATCTCTTTAACATAAATTATTTAATTTAATTTAATATTTAAAAAAAAAATATTTATTTATTTATTTATTTATGTAGTATGTAAATATATATAAACTTATTTTCCTTTTTAATTAATTATTAATTAATTAATAATTTATTAAATTTTAGATTCGATAAATAAAAAAATTTTTTTTTTTTTTTTGTTGTAAACTTTCAGACTTACTCGGTTATTATTGTCTAATAAATTTTTATTTATTATTATTATTATTATTATTATTAACGTGATAAATCATCGTTTGATTAATAATAATAATAATAATAATAATAGTAATGATGAATTAATGGTAATGATTGTAATAATAATAATGATTTTATGGTGAGCTATATGTATGTATGATGTTTAACGAATGTGTGATGATGATATGAGTTAGATTAATTTTTAATTATTCAAAAGTTGGCCAACCTGTTTTTGTTTTCATAAGTTACCCTTACCGTTGTTTATTTTTAGGACCTAGACGACGGACGAACGAACGAACAGGGAGTAGATCAAAAGTGAGATAAAGAAATGACGTCATTAAAATGGCGGACGAATATTCAAGAGAATTTTTGTGGAGATGATGATAATAATAATAATAATAATAGAACGGTAAGTTTTAAACGTTTGTTAAGAAAATTACGATTTGTTAATTTGCGATAACGAATTTTAACTCTAACGACATGTCGGATTGTAATAATAATAATAATAATAATAATAATAATAATAATTATTATTATTATTATTATTATTATTATTATTATTATTATTATTATTGTAATGAAAGATTATGCGATGAAAGATAAAACCTAATTTAAATTTATTTTCATTTTTTTTTTGCCGTTATCGAATTTATATAGATGTGTGACGTATCGTTAATTACGATTTTTGTTTAGGTTTTTTTGCTTATTTAAAACAAACAAACAAACGAACAAACAAACAGAAACAAACGAGCGCGGGGGGAAATAATAAATATTTTAAATAAAAAAAAAAAAAAAAAAAAAACGGTCGTTTTTATCCGCGTACCCGCCGCCGTCGTCGTCGTCGGGAAACGAAATTACGAGTGCAAGAGAGAGATAGAATGATGAGTAGGATGAAGGGGAGGATGAGGGGAAGGGAGAGGGGTAAGGGGAAAATTCAAATTTTATTCCGGAACGTCGAAATAGTGCAAAGTAGTTTTTTTTTTTCTGTCTGTTTCTCGAAAGGTTGGCCAATCAGGAGTCAGTACTCGACAAGATGTCGTTCGTGAATAATTGTTTTTCGGTTTGTCCCGTCTCATTTTTTTTTTTTTTTTTTTTTTGTGAAATTTTTGTGTTTTTTTTTTTTATTTTTTTGAAAGACATTTTGTTTTAATAAGATAATTAAAAACGTTTGATAAATGATTACGGTAAAAAAAAAAAAAAAGGCACTTAATTATTACTTTCGTAGTCTTTTTTTTTTTTTATTCATAAACGTTATAATAATTATTTAAAATGGCCGACAGGTCTCGGCATAAAATTTCGTTTTTTTTCAATTATAAAACGCGTCGTAAAAAAAAAGTATTACAAAGTGTTTCAATCATTATTATTATTATTATCATTATTAACATTTAAATTAAATTTTTAAAAAAAATATATATATATATATTATAAATATATTACTCGAATTAAAAAAAAAAAAAGGGGTATTCAACTTAAACATTACAAAAAAAAAACAGGGAAAAATCTTATTAATTAATTATTAATTATTATTTAATTATTTATTTAATTATTTATTTATGTACACGGAGATCGTTTTTTACGATTTTTTTTTATATATATATAATGGGCTTATTATTAACGAATAGATTCATACAAAAATAATTCTTATTAGAATTCGTCGTCTTCACAATTGATAGAAAAAACCGTTAAAAAAAAATTGGTAAAAATATATATATATATTAATATTAAATTAAATTTTTTTTTTTAGCAAAATGGTAACTTTTTTTTTTTTTTTTTTAATTTTATATATTTTATAACGACAAAAAGGGAAGAAAAATTTATTCGCGCGCGCATGCGCGTTAGAAGCGTGTGTCTGTGTGGTGTTCGTGCGAGATTTTACGCGAAAACGCGAACTTTTATAATTGACGATTGTAATTAAAAAATTGACCCAACACCAACGTTATATGATTAAACGTTAAATCTTAATTCGATTTCGATTTCGATATATCGTTTTTTTCTCAGAAGAAGGTACTAGGTTCGTACCTGAAAATCGAAATCGATGATATTTGACAACTACTACTAACTACCATTATATTAATTAATTTTATATCGGGTCGAACCCGTTTACAAAAAAATTTCGTTCGAACTTTCACTCTTTTAACGTTTTTTTTTTTTTTTTTTTTTTTTTTAATCAACCTTAAACCTGAAATTTTTCTTTTTTTTTTTATTTTAAATAATCAAGGCGATCGTGAAAGCAGTACTTATTAATTAATTAATTATTTACATAAATAAATTTCCCGATTATTTAATTTATGTTTTTTTTTTGGCGGGCCCCGAAAATAATTTTAAAAAAAAAAATTTTTTTTTTTCGATTCATTTTCGCGGTTTTTTTTTTTTTAAATTTAAATTTTCTTCCCTTTTTGACGGTGGTTACAAAAAAAAAAAAAAAAAAAAAAAAAAAAGAAATTGTATTATTATTATCATCATTATCATTATCATTTCTTTTTTTTTTTTTTTTTTAAATATGTTTTACATATAATGTACGTTAACTTAACTGTTTAATTTGTTTTTGTTTCTTTGTATGTAACGAAACTGAGTATCAAATGATGGGGGGTACGTGGGGGATGTGGGGGGCGGGGCGGGGTGGAAAATGTTTTTTTCTTCCGTTTTTTGCTGTTTTCCTTTTTTTTTTTTTTTTTTTTTTTACTTTTCTCTCTCTCTCTCTCTCTCGACTTGTATCATCAACTCCACCTTAGAAAGAGAAAAAATTAAATTAATTTTATTTTGCTACGGTTAAGTGATGTGAGACGTTTTGCGTTTGTTTGTTTGCGTTAAGTGTCTCGTAACACGTAAAAAATAAAATAATAATAATAATAATAATAATGATGATGACGATGGTAAAATTTTTTTTTTTTTTAAACGTGGGCGGCGTTTATTATTATTATTATTATTATTATTAAATTTACACTTTCTAACCCGTTTGCTACGATTAAAAGATTTGTTTTTTTTTGTCGGTCGGTCGGTCGGTTTGACCCTTCTTGATATGTTTTCTCTTTGAGTTTTTTTTTTTTTTTTGCTGTTGTCAAATTCGAAATTTTAAACGAGGGTTCTTTCGCGCGTTTTTTTTTTCTTCGGGTGCGGGGTGCGGGGGCGGGGGTTCTTGTTCGTGCAAAAAAAAAAAAAAAGAAAATATAGGTTTTTTCCCTTACATGTGCTGTTGTTGAAACATGTCCGAATGTTTGTTCAGCTCTCTGTGCAATTGTTCCGGAAGGACTCCGACGTTCGTGAAAAGACTCCTCAAAACGTTCAATTCCTCTATCAGCAACTCTATCCTTTTTTGAAGCCTTTCATTTTCCTTCACGAGTAACTTGACCTTTTCTTCCGTTTCCCTAGATCTCAACTTGGCCTTTTCTCGACTCTTTCTCACCGCTATGTTATTCCTTTCCCTTCGTCTCCTATACTCGTCGCTCGCTTTGTCAACGGATTTGTGATTTTTTCTATTGTTATTATTATTATTATTGTTGTTATTGTTATGGTGATGATTTAACATTGCAGTCTTGGCTGCCAAATTTTTGATTCCTGAAACGATTCAAACAAAAAAAAAAAAAAAAGGGAAAACATGGTGAAACCTTTTTAAATGCAGGGTCATATAAACCGTGATTGATTGTATAGACGTCACGTGACGACACAATTCACATAAAACTCGTACATATTAAAAATAAAAAAATTTATAATTCGGACTAGAAATCTCACAAAGAAAAAGGAGGTAATAATGATAATGATAATAATAATAATATTAAAAGTAAAAGCTGTTAGCATTTCTCGAAATATAAAACTAGGCTATGTTTATTAAACATTCAAATTAGCGACACATGTAATAAAATGAAAGCGTCCGTGACGACGGGCCTCACTCACTCACTCACTCGTCGGGTACACTTTCCCTTTCTGAATATAAATTTATCAACGTGTAAACATATAAAAATAATAATAATGATAATAATAATAAAAGAGAAAACAAAAAGGAAAATTTCCAAGTTGGTTGTTGTAAGCGCGTGTGTATGTGTAAGCACACTTACCTAAATGATGCTGGTTTCCCTGTATCGTTGACGGTGTGAGATTAGTAAAGGATGAACCCGCACCATTTGATATGTAACTCCCGCCGGTTGGCGAGAAAGTTCCCGAATAGGGTACCGAGACCGCCGTCGTGCTGCAGTTTCTTCTAAAGTCCTGTAATAAAAACTTTTGACTAAATCGAAATAAGAATAAAATTCGATCGCGGAGGAAATGGGGTAAGAGGGAGGGGGAGGTGAGGTGGGAGAGGAGAGAGAGAGAGAGAGGGAGAGGGAGTAGAAAAGAAAAAAAAAAGGAAACGGAAATCAAACAGAAAGAGAGAGAGAGAAAAATAAATAAATAAATAAATAAACGAAATTTTCCAAACGCGCATGCGTTTGTCGTTAATGAATTAAAAACAATCGCAAATCGGCGGGGGGGGGGCAAAAAGGGGGGAAAGGGGGGAAAAGGATGGAAATACGAAGACTGTTTGTTTGTTTTCTTTTTTTTTTTTTTTTTTTTTTGGTCCAGGTAGACTTGATACTCGGTTGCGCGTTTAAAGGACGTGACGTAAAAGTTTCCTGTTGTATGTAGATTATTTATTAAAACAAACGAAATTTTTTTTTTTTTTCCGTTGAAATCGAATTCGTTCGATTTCGATATATATATTATATCGATTGCGAATCGTTTTCGTGTAATTAAATTATTATTATTATTTCGAGATCGGAGGTTTTTTTTTTTTTGTATTCGGGAAAGGATTTTTCTAGAAATTATTATTATTATTATTATTTTTGTTGTCCCTGAAATATTTTATTACTACAAAACCAATGCCAAGGGTTTTTTTTTTTTTTTTTTTGCTTTTGGGTTTGTTTTTGTTTTTCGAAAAAAATTTTTTTTTTTAAATTCGTTGGCGCACACGAGATTATCGAAGCGTAAAATAATTTGAAACGATATATATTAAAACTCGCAAATCCGGTTATTTTATTTTTGGCGGCATAAAATTAAAAAAAATTAAAAATAAAATAAAAATTTCTTTAGCTTTCACAAACGAAACGAAATTAAAAAAAAGAAAATCGTGCGTGTACGCATATTATATTTCAGGTAGTAAATCCGACCGAGAAAAAAAAAAAAAAACATTTTAAAGTTTCTCTAAACGTTAAAAAAAAAAAAAAAATTATAATGAATCATGTTTTTAAAATAAAATAAAGAAGAAGAAAGATAAAAAAATAATAATAATAATAAAATGGAACGCGAATTATAAATATATATATATATATGAAGCTGTTAAATTGCAATTACTTCCGGTATAATAAAAAATGGCGACCTTGACCAAGTCCCACTACGCGTAATGATTCGTCGTATGTTTCTCGATCTAAGCCCTTTTTTTTTTTTTTTTTTTTTTCTCTTTGCCATTTTACTCGAATCCGTGTCACTTTTTTTTAAAAATTAATACGTCGGTTTTACCGCGTCTTCTTGTGCCACGTTACGCAACGTTATTGCCACGAAAATCGTCATCGTCATCGTCGTCATCATCATTGCCCCCGAGTGGTTACATCTTCGTTATGTTTAATTCATTCATTCATTCATTCATTCATTCGTGACATATTATACTTTGAGATTTTTTTTTTTTTTTTTCGAAAATTTTTACGTCCCGGAAAATTCATTGACATCCTTTTTTTTTTTTTTTTTTTTTTTCAAATCCCCGGTTTGTTTGGTTGTACCCAAAGCGGGACAATCGATTGATGTTTGGGCCAAAATAACGTCAATTTAAGGCCATTTTTTTTTTTTTTTTTTTTTAACCACCGACATCGCCCTCAATTTTTTTTGAAAGGGGAAAAATAATAATAATAAAAAAAATAATAATAATAAAAATAATAATAATCCCGCCGTCGGGACTACAACGACAATTATTTTGCGGTATGAAAAACGGGCACCCAGTCAACCGGCCCTTATAATTATTATTATAATAATTATTATTTTCTTACCGGGCGTTATTACGTAAAAATTTCACATAATGTTATTTAAAAACGAACGTATGATTTATGTTACCTAACGCGTTGATTAATTACCCAATTTTATTATTTATGTTATTATGTGCAAATTATTTATTTATTTATGTATGTATGCATGCGTTGTTATTTTAATTATTAAAATTATTATTATTATTATTATTTGTAAATACTTTTACGTTAGGCCGACAAAACGCGAACCAAAATAAACAAACAAACAAACAGAAAAAGAGAGAGAGAGAGAGAGAGAAAAATGCATAAATGCAGGCTTTCTTTCGAGTATAAATAGTGCAACAAACAACAATCTTGCAACAGGATATCCTCGCGGCAAAACTTGCACCCGGGAAAAATGATGATAAGAAATCGTTTGAATAAGAAAATAATAATAATAATAATAATGAGGGGTTTTCAATAAGTTTTCTCTCATTTTTTTCCCGTCGGTGTACTTTTAATAAAAATCTATCGACGGGGGGGAAGGGGAAAGAAATGGATGAAAAAAAAAAAATAGAAAAAAAACAAACACATGAATACAAATTTTTTTTTTTCCTTCTTCTTTCCGTTTTATGAAAGTAGGGCAAACAAAACGCACGAGACAACAAATTCAGGCAAATATGAAAACAAACGACAAACGACAACGACAACAACGAAAAAAGATCAAAGACCTCGCTCGACTCGACAGTTTGTTCGATTGACTTCCCATTTATTATTTATTACACCTTATTTGTGTTAATCGTTAATAATAATTATTATTATTACTCGAATTATTTATTTATTTATTTATAAATAAAAATTGAATATTTAATAATTTATTAATAAATAAATAAATAAATAAATAAATAAATTCAACGGTCATTTTCTTTTTTTTTTGGTAATTACGTCACGTGTTGAATAAACATTTTTCTGGGGGCACGACAAATAACGACTCAAACCTTTTATTTATTTATTTATCGATGATGATGATGATGATGATGATGATAAAAGGAACAGCAACAACAACCGGGAAAAGGGTCGAAAGGTTGATGATTTAAATGAATTTAAATAGTAAATCGTTAACGATGATGATGATGGTGTATCGTCGTTCGGGTATTTAAATTTTTTTATTTTTTTCTAGTGACTCGATTAGTTTGGTAAATTTGTTGTTGTTGTTGTTTTTTTTAATGTTTTTTGTTGTTGCAATAATTTCATTTTCGAATCGTGATTTACGTAAAAAAAAAAAAAAAAAAAAAGAAATAAAAAAAAAATAATAATAATGATAATTTATTATCCACAATTGGAATTCATGTTTTTTTTTTTTTTTTTTTTTGTTATTATGCAATACAAAAATTGATGCGTTCGCCCTGGAAAATATTCTATAAACGTTTTCGGTATGTGTGTGCGTGCGTGTGCGTGCGCGTGCGTGTGTTGCAATTATGTTGTTTGTGTTTCTCAATAATTTGATACCACGAGATTTGGCTTATTAGGTTCCGTCGGTCATTTTTATCACATTATCATTATTATTATTATTATTATTATTATTATTATTATTATAAAAACAAAATCGCCGTTTACTATTTAATTATATATATATTGACAAATGAAAATTTTTTGAGCAGAAGAGAATTTTTTAAATTGAAAAAAAAAAAAAAAAAAAAAAAAAAAAAAAAAATGAAACGAAATAATGCGGAAACAGGAAACCGACGGAGCTTTTTTTTTTTTATGTGAGAGATTTTTATGCAAAAAAAAAAAAAACGTTTTTTTTTTTTAAATTCATATTTGGCCCGTGACGTGTGCGTGTGCGTGTGTGCGCGGGTTCAGTGATATATATGAAAAATGATGTTTAACTACTAATTGGCGTATATCCAATCCCTACTTTATTTTCTTAAATAAATAATGAAGGATTTGCTTTGGGTTTTATTATTATTATTATTATTATTAGTAGTAGTAGTAGTAGTAGTAGTAGTAGTATTAGTATTATTATTATTATTATTTTATTTGATAATTATAAACAAATTAATCCTCGTGTACCTTCATTCCGAAACCCAATATATATATATATATATATATATATATATATATTGGGTTTCGGGGGGGAAGGGGGATCGTAATAAAAAATTCTACGATTCCGATTGGTTCCCGACCTTAATGACGTCATAATTAATAAGGTTAAAATTGTTTTTTCAACGTGCGAAAATTTTACAAACGTTTACCTACTCCCGGGATCGTTTCGATTTGTTTTTTTTTTTTTTTTTTTTTTTTTTTTGTTTTTATTATTATTATTATTATTTTTTTTTTTTTTTTACGAAATTTTTGTGGGCCAAAAATTTTTTGGACACGACGAATGTTTTTTATTACGTAAGAAAAAAAAAAATTTTTTTCGATTGTTTTAAATTTTTTGTTTCGCCAAAAAAAAAATAATAAGAAAAGACGTTTTTATAATAAACCGTCGGTAAATGTTACGCATGTTCAGAAATTCTTCGAAAAACAAAAAAAAAATGGTTGAATTGTAAAAAAAAGCTGGTGATGGTGGTGGACACGTCTACGAAAAAGAAAATTCGAAAAAAAAAATTTTTTCCTAACTATTTTCGATATTAATCGAACCTCGATTCGAAATCGATTCTCGAGGAAAAGGGGGGAAGCGAGGGGCGGGGAGAAAGGGGGGAGAAAGGGGAGGGGGAAAAGAAACGGTAGAAATTAACAAAATGCTATAATATAATTGCAGTACTATACCGTTACAGATAATTATTACGTAATTATTATTATTATTATTATTGTTTTTTTTCCCTTTTAAAAAAATCGAATCCGTTAATTTTTTTTTTTCTCGCGTTGATAAAAATTAAATTCGTTTTTTTTTTTTTTTTTTTAACGTGGCGTAAACCGCAAACAAAAAATTTTATTTAATTAATTTTGATAAAAAAAAAAAAAAGAAAAAAAAACGCGAAGGATTTAATTCGTAAACGAATTCGCGGACGAGGACCAATCAACCAACCCCCAGCTGAGATTTTTTTTTTTTTTTTTTTACGCATTATTGACAAATAAATACATAAATAAATTTTTATGTTTCAAGGGTACGTTAATAAACAAAAACAACAACAACAACAAAATTAGGTTAAAATTAATTTAAACGCTTTTGTAAAAAATTTCATAGAGTAAAAAAAAAAAAGCACACACCCCCGCAAAACAAAAGGAAAATATAAAAATAATAATAATAATAATAATAATAATAATAATGATTTTTAATTTAATTATATTTTTAAAATTTGTTGTTATCCTGCCAGAGTTTATAAATAATAATAATAATAATAATAATAATATATATAGCGCGAGAGAATATAGTGCTTATTATTATTATTATTATTATTATTATTTTCACTTTTTATTCGCGACGACGACGATTCGCCGTCGTTGTCGCGGTCTGTGTGTCGGAATTTTTTTATCCTCATCCCTAAGGAATAAATCCCTGAATTTTTGTTGATAACTTAAACGATGTCCTGAGTATTCTCCTCAGTAAACTGAGAGTTAAGGGGATAAAAACATTTGGGGAGGGACCGGGATCAGGAATCGTGTAAATCACAACCTCGTCTTGTTTCCCTCAGGTCCGTCAGGTCAATAATTATTTTTTGTCTTTCCCGAGGGACAATCACTCACATTCGTTGGCTTTTATTATTATTATTATTATTATTATTATTATTTCGAGTTTTTCCAGGTTTTTCTTTTTCTTTTAAAAGATTTTTCAATTTTGAATTCCCGTCGCGGTTTTTTTATTTTTGAAAAAAAAAAATTAAAGCGAAAGAAAATGCGTGAATGTGGGCCGATTCTTAAAACGCGAGTTTTATTATTATTATCATCATCATCATCATCATCATTATTATTATTACTATTTTTTTTTTAATGGTTAATTAAAAAATAAATAAATAATTAGAATTAATAATAATAATAATAATAATTTTTTTTTACGACTGACTTTAAAATAAAAAAAAAAAAAAAAAAAAAAAAAAAAAACATTATGCAATTAAAATGAATGCGTGACGTAGCAGTAGATAAATTTAATGGTTATTTATAGATGAATATTTTGTTATTATTATTATTTTTTTTCAATGTGCGTGTGTGCGTGCGTGAGTGCGTGTGCGTGTTTGCTTTTGTATTTTATAATTGAAAAAAAAAAAAAAAAAAACTCGTCCGGTGAAATTTAAATTTTATTTTTTTTTGTTTTTTTTTTTTTACAGATTTTCAAATTTGCCATTTAAGTGATTTTCGTCGTCTCACAATATTTTTTTGTAAAAGAGATAAAGAAGATGAATAAATCGATCCATCTCGTCCTACGCGGTGAGTTGTTGAGTTGTTTTTATGTTTTTAATAAGAAAATGTTTTTTTTTTTTTGTTGTGTTTCATGTTGGAGGAGAAAGTTGTGCCGTTATTTATTATTATTAATGCAAATAAATTATAGAAACAGCATCCATCGGATTCGTGTTTGTAAACATGTTGCATGTTAATTTGGGTCAAAAACAAAAACAAACCGAAAAAATTTTGTTTTTTTAAAAGGAAAATTCAAAACTATATAAGTTTCGATATATATATTAATCGAAAAAAAAAAAACGATAGATCGATCGATCGAACTAATTCTAAGCTTTCGTTTTGTTTTTCCACGTTTTCCCGTCGTAATTAAAACATAAAAAAAAAAAAAATTTCATCGCCATATTGTCGGATTTTATTATTTTTGTCTTTTGCCAGAAAAAACTATTTTAAATCATTAAAAGTTCTTTGTTTGTTTTTCACGCGCATTTTCTATCTCTCTCTCTCTCTCTCTCTTGCATCTCAACGCCCACCTTATTGCACTTTTTTTTTTTTTTTTTTTTAAAGATAAAGTGATTCACACGCACGCACTTACGCACACGCACGCACACACACACACGCTGAACGTTTTTTCTTAGTCAAAGAATAAAAAACCGCGTAAAAATCTTTATGAATGTGAAAATGTTTGCGTGAATTTTCCTCCCACTTTTCCACGAACGTTTGAAAAGAATGAGAAGAAAGAGAAGAGAACAAAAAAAGAAAAAAAAGTGCGTGAAACTAGAAAGACAAAAAAAAATAATAACGATAATAATAATAATAAAACGTGGCTCTAAGAGTTGTCGTGCCAGAATTTGAAGGGCACCTATAGAAAAAAAAAAAAAAAAAAGAATCATTTCAAGGACGATTATTTATTTATTTATTTATTTATTTACTTATGTACGTACGTATGTATGTATGTATGTATGCACCGAACAGTCACACGCATTGAAGAATTTAAAGGAAAATGGTCTGATATTATTATTATTATTATTATTAATAATCGTAGGCAGCGGTTTAATATTTCCTGGAAAGGAATTTTTTTTTTTTTTTTTCATTTCTCATGCGAATCGAAGTCGGACGAGTTTTTTTTTTTTTTTGCACCATCATGGCCACTCCTAACCTCTTAAAAAAAAATTTTTTTTATTATTGTTCGATTGACCTAGTACTGAAACGACGACGACGACGACGACAACAACGACAAACGAAAGGGAAAGAGAGAGAGAGAGAGAGAGAGAGAAAATTTCCACCGAAATTAGAACCTCAATAAGTTTGTTTGCTAAAGGAAATTGCACAAGGTCCACTTTTCTTTCTTATCGTGACACAACAGGAAGTGCCTCAATAGAGTAGTTTTGATAATTTATAATTTTTCGAAAGGAAAGTATCGGATAAACGACGCACAAATTATTATTATTATTAACTTACCTTTTCCCCATCCGTTTTATTTACATTTAAAAGAAAAAAAACGGGGGAGGGGGGAAGAAGAAAACGGGTCGGGGAAAAAGGTAAAAAAAATTTTAAATAATAATAATAATAATAGCAAATGGAAAATTTTGCGTCGTGTTTTTTCCCTTTCCCCTCTAACGTAATTTAAACGTTCGCTATATTTACCAATAATCGTAATAATAAAGTATGTATGCGCGTTCGTATACGCGTTCGAATTCGAACGAGTGCGTGCGTGCGTGCGTGCGTGCGTGCGTGTGCGTAATCGTATTCATTTGCAACACAAGTTTAAAAAAAAAAAAAAAAAAAAAAAAAACGAAATTTATGCCGTTTATGTGTTACGGTTTACGGTATGATTACGTTCGTTGGTTACGTAGTAATACCAAGTTTTTTTTTTTTTTATGTGCGCGGATCGTTACGTAATAATTGTGCCAAGATTAAAAGTTCAAATTTTGACTTTATGGAACGCTCGTTCGTGTTACGTGTTTAAAAAAAAAAAAAAAAAAACTCGGTCGTTTGTGTTTGTTGTTACGTTCGCAACGTCCCACGGTCTTATTATTATTATTATTATTGTTAATTAAACGTTAAAATTTTTTTTTTGTTTGTTACAGGCGAACGGAATAAGATTATAATGGATATATTGGTGAACGTCAAATCTTATCTGATTTCTAATACGAACACGTTGCTTTGTATGGATTATTTAACGAAATCTGATTTACGCCGGGATTATTTATTATTAATCCGTCACTTTGGTGGCAGTTTAAAAAATAATGAATGATGAATGACACGAGGCGTTCGAACGTTGGAGGAAACCGAAAGGAATTGAAAAAAAGGTACGTGTGTGTGAATTTTTGTAAAAATTCGAAGGGTTAAAATTGGGTAGAAAAAATGAAAGAAAAAATTATCTTACCTGGGGATCCGTAGGCTCTTGTTTTATACTCGGCAAACTAGACGAACTGGAACTGGAACTATCCGAATTGTTGTTGTTATTATTATTATTATTATTAGTTGTAGTATTATTATAACTTGCGGCCGAATGCACGGGTTGTGGCATGTACGCCAAAGCGCGGGTGCTATAAGTCACACTGTTATTGTTTACTGCACTTGCACTTGTGGACCGCAGGGCACCACTCACTTGATGGTGACTTTGTACTTGTACGGATTTTCCACTCGCTTCCAAAATGTCGGTAAATATCCCTTCGTTGAATTGCGAATCGTCAATCAAATTTTGTAGGTCCAAACTGATTTCGGGCGAATTTAAATCCGTCAATTCGCCGTGTTGATTCGCGTATAAAGCATTTTGTATTTGCTTTATGTTGGCCACGTTTAATTTTATGTTGTTGTTGTTGTTGTTGACGTTCGGTGCTGCGGCGTTGCTTGTGCTGTTGTTACCGTTCGCACTGTTGCTGTTATTATTGCCGTTATTATTATTGTTCGTATTGTTGTTATTGTTATTGTTGTTGTTCGAACTGTTTATTACTTTCTTATTTGTTTCCGTTTGGCTGTTTTCATACATGTGAGGAGATTCCATTTTTTATAAAAAACTCGCATGTCTCTTTATTACAACGCAAACAATTATTTTTTTCCCTCCTCCTTCTTCTTCTTCTTCTTTCGTTCACTTCACATTTAATTTTGTTTTTTTTTTTTTTTTTGCCTTTATTTCTCGTATTCAAAAATCCACATTCCGAACTTTATCTTAAAAAAAAAAAAAAAAAAAAAAAGAAAACAGAAAAAAAAATTTTTGAAGAAAAAATAATATTAAAAACCCCCCAAAAAAAAATTTAAAAAAAAAACAAAAACAAAAAACCAAAACCAAAAAAAAAAAAAAAAAAAAAAAAACAAAAAACGCGTGCGTTTTTCACAAACGTTCTTTATAACTCGTGACTTCTTTTTTTTTTTGGGTCGCGTATCAAACTCTCCGTACACTATCCTCTCTCTCTCTCCACGTTCTCGATATTGACACGGAAAATAATACAGGTTGACGTATCCCTACCCTTACCCGATACCGTTTTCCTCCACCACTCGTAAAACAACCGACCTACAATACAAATCAACAGATTCGTGTTTTTTCTCTTCTTCCGGGTGGGGGAGTTTATAAATTTTTCGGGTTACAAATCTAACGCGGGTGGGAGGTATGGTTTTTTTTTTTTTTTTTTTATTATCCTTTTGGATCTACGTGTGGTAGCAAATAGTGATGGTGATGATGATGATGATGATGATCGTGGTAATGATGTCAGCGGACTCTCGGTGTGTGTGTGTGCGTGCGCGTTTGACTGTGATGAAATCTTATCGCGAGAAATCATCAAATAAAAAAAAAACAAAAAAGACCCCGATTCAATTCAAAATTAAATTGAAATTCACCTTGTTGCGTTGTTGTTGTTGTTGTCTTAAACCACGTCAAAAAAAAAAAAAAAATTTCGATATAACACGTGTGTTCGACACGTAAAAAAAAAAAAAAAAACAAAAAAAAAAAAACAAAAAAAATCTGCGATGGAACTTTTTAAAAATTTCACTTTTATCCCATCCCTACCAATTCTTCCTCCCTCTCTCTCTCTCTCTCTCTATCTCTCTCTATCTCTCTCTATCTCTCTCTATCTCTCTCTCACTCTTTTAATCCCCCTCTCGAACCTGCTGAATCTAACTTTATCATTATTATTATTATTATTGTTATTATCATTGATTTGAAATATTTATATGCATGTATATATATATATATATATATATATATATATATATATTCGGGTCAAAATTTATACAATTTTCCACTGGGCTACTTTTTCTTTCCCCCCCTCCTCCTCCTCCTCCTCCTCCCTTCTCTCTTAAAAGTTCACTTTTATAAATGATGATGATAATAATAATAATGAAATCATTATTAATTCGAAGAAAGGGAAATTTTACGCGGGTCGAAAAAAAAAAAAAATTTATTTTATTTTATACCTACACGAGTTTAAACGAGTAAGAGAGAGAGAGAGAGAGAGAGAGAGAGAGAGAGAGAGAGAGAGAGAGAGAGAGAGAGAAAACTTTCATTTAAAGTTATTTAATTTTATAAATTGACGTTTGCCATTTTTATTATTATTATTATTTTAAATAAATTATTATTATGGAAATTTATTTTATTTTAAAAACATTTTAAATATAAAAATAAAATTAACTTTCTTCGAAAAATTATAAAAATAAAACGACTGCTACGACAACAACAACAACAACAACAACAAACAAGAACAACAAATAAAACAAACAAATAAGAAAGAAAAAAAGAAAGAAAGAAAAAAGAAATTAAAAATTATTATCATTGTCATTATTTATTAATAATAATAATAATAATATTATTTAAAAGGTTGAGAAAACTCGACAATCGAGTTTTTGTCTTTTTTTATTTTATTTTTCATTTTTATTTGTTTTCTTTCTGTTCTTGTGTTTGTTTTATTAATATTAATATCATTATCATTATCATCATCATCATCATCATCATTATTATTATTTTCGTTTGGCATTTTAAAAACGAATTTAACTTGGAAAGAGAGAGAGAGAGAGAGAAAGGGAAAAAAATCATGTATATTTTCCGGGAATTAATTTTAATTTTTTAATTTTAAAGAGAATTTTACTGACATCATTCAACCATCATCGATCTATCGATCCATCGATCGATCGATCAATCGAATCGTTCACTTGTATTTAACTTATCCGCGAAAAAAAAAAAAAAAAAAATCCGATTTAAATTTTTCGAAAAACGATCGTAAAAAAAAAAAAAAATCGATTATATCGAATTTGAATTATCGATCTTTCTCTTTCTTTTTCTTTTTTCTCTATCTCTCTCTCTCTCTCTCTCTCTCTCTTTCTTTCTTCCTCCCCCCTCCCTTTTACAATATCGAAATCGAAGAATATTCGATGACCCATTTTATTAAAAAAAAAAAAAATCGTTTTTTCTAGCTCGTGCCAACATGGTTTTTTTTTTTTTTTTTTTTGTTTTCCTTACAATAATTTTCGACGTACAATGTATTACTTTTATACGTTACAAAATACATAAATAAATAATAATAATAATAATGATATTATTATTATTATTATTTTTATAATATGATAACTTACGGGAACGTGATGAAAATTCGTTCGTTTTTTTTTTTTTTTTTTTTTTTTTTGCACACACGGACAAATCCTTCGTTTTACGTTTTTTTTTTTTTTTTTTTTTTCGACAGAGAATTTCTTAACGAAACAAAATCAAACTTCACGTAATAATAATAATGATATTATTATTAATATAAAAAAAAAATCACAATTTTCCCCCAATTAAAAAAAAAAAAAAACACAATTCAAATGACGATTTAATTACTGTGTCACACACGTATAAATTAAATATTTTAATCACTCACTCATTCACTCACTCACTGATTGATTGATTGATTGATTAAATTTTTACGCGTTCGCGAAAACGTTCGATATATGAAAAAAAAAAAATATATATATATATATAAATATATATTTATATACGTACGGTGATAACAGTGATAAAAAAAAAAAAAAAAAACTCGAAAATCGAATGAAATAAAAAAGAACGACGACCGATATATACACACGCACACACGTGGAATAATCTCGAAACTCTCTTTTCGATATATATATATATGTACTACTACAACTTTACGATTTATTCATTCAATTGTTTTTCCTGTTGTTGTTGTTGTTGTTGTTCTATCTCTCTTTCTCTTTTTCTTTTCTCGCGTATTTTATTTCGCACATAAAAAAAATTTTTATCAATTGAATTATTAATAATCGATTGATCGATCGATCGATCTATCGATCAATTAATTAATTATTATTAATTAATAAAAATCACATAATTAATTTTTTTTCGATTGTAAGTCCTGTGTCGCGAGAGTTTTTTTGTTTTTGTTTTTCGTCTACTTCTTCGCCTTATCAATTACGTTATCGTATATGTGTATATATGTATAAATCGCGTAAAAAATTTATATATTAAAAAAAATAATGATAATAATAATATTTATGTATAGATTTTATAAAAAAATATTGATACGATAATTAATTATTATTATATTAATAATAATAATAAACGGTTTCTTAGATGTGTCTACAACGCGTCGCGAAAAACGAAAGCGAAATAAATTAGTGATGCAATATTTCCCCAACGTAAATAAAAGCCTGAAATTCGTTTGAAGTCCGTGGGAAACGTAAATTGATACCCGCGAGACATTGTTTTGTAAATAAATTGCGGTTTCTTTTTAAATTTATTTCAGGGCGGATCGTAAAATGATTCGCGGCGAGCGGGCCGTATGACGTGAGGAAAAGTTCAATTAAGAATTCTTGTTTTTTTAAAACATTTTCTTTTACTCGTACGGTGTATAAGTTAAATATGATTCGGTCAGCTGATTGACGATCGAAGCGATATCGGCGGACGTGATTGTAAATAAAACAAAACGGTTATTTATGTTAAATACGTTTGCGTTATCTACCGTCGGAAAATTTAATCAACGTATCGACTGTTTCGCTTATGGGGTTTTTATTTTTTTTTTTAATAAACGTTTTTTTTTTTGTTTAAATTTTTCACCGATAGATGTCGGGTTTAAAATTTTTTTAAATTTATTTAATTAATTAAAAAAAAAAAATGATAAAACAATATGGCGGATCGCCGTTAATTTTTGTTTTTTTGTTTTTTTTTTTTTTTTTTTTCCTCCAAAACGGAGATTTTAATTGATTGTCAATTATCGGATTTTCATTATCATTATTATTATCATCATTATCATTTAAACGATTCGTTGTTTTGATTCTTGAATGAAAAAACGAATTTTTTTCCGATTTCCTTTGAGCAACAACAACAACAACAGCAAAAACATTTTTTTTTTTTTTTTTTAGAAAAGGAAAAGAAAATATTTTGCTACTGCGAAATGATGCCGCCGCTACCTTTGTAGCAGAAGACAAATAATAATAATAATAAAACTACATGGAAATGCTGCATTTTTTTTTTTTTTTTTTTTTTTCAATTACTGTTGCACTTTGGGTAATGAATGGTTTCATTTTTCTTTATGTAAAATAATTTTTTTTTTTTTTTTTTCTTTTTCATCATTCCCGTCGTCAACATCATCATCATCATCATCATCGTCGTCGACTTCATAACCGTAGTGTAATAATCATCATCATCATTATTATTATTATTATTATTATTATTATTGTCATTTGTTATGAGATCGTTATTGAGGAAACGCATTACAGTCAAATATCGAAACAATAAGTTGTTAAAAAATTGCGTAGCAATGCATTCTAGGTAAAGCATACATTTAATGCATAAAAAGGGAAAAAAAAAGAAAGGAAAGAAGAAAGAAAAGAAAAGAAAGAAAAGAAAAGAAAAGGAAAGGAAAAAAAAAAAAAAAAATTTGCTTCGAACCTAAAAAAAAAAAAATTTTTTTTTTTTTTTTTTAAATAATCGAACCTGAAATGACAATGAAGGCCTTCTCTTCGGGTCGCCATATGAGTTCATCTCGTTCGACACAATTTCTATTGTTGTCTCTCTCTCTCTCT